TCAGGCAGCAGGTGGGGTACACCTAGAACTGGTTGCCAGCCAATCATTGGTAATAAGTATGTTTTATGTTTTTAATAGGCATATTAGCATGTTCAAAATAATGAAGCTCTCTCACCAGAATGCACTTTGTGTGTGTGTGTGTGTGTGTGTGTGTGTGTGTGCGCGCGCGTGTGTGCGCGCGCGTGTGTGTGTGTGTTTCACCATTCCTATTTACCAATTCCCTGCCTTGTTAGCACGGGGTGGTTATAATTAGCTAGCCTCCATCGAAAGCAGGTCAGCGCCAAGGCATCGCACCGCGCACAAATGGGTCACTGCGGCGAGGAGACGACGATCAAGTGCATGATGGTAAACGCAGTGGGCAAGGAGAAAACACATTCCTCTGTTACATAAAAGATTTGACGAAGCTATCGAGGCTGTATAAAACCGGAAGGTTAGCGCAACGTTTTTAAGTGGTCGTCGGTCTTGCCGCTAGTAGCTAACTCATTAAAAAGCCCAGTTGTTGCTAATTTAAGATCATCTTTTTCAAATGGAGCAATTGAAAACGAGGACTAGCTTTACATAAGAGTCAGGCATTAAAGTATTCAGTTAGCAAGGGTGCACTTGGGTAGAGGAGGACTCTGTTCTGCCGCTAGACGCTAATTAACAACCAAGCCGCAGTGTTGGTATTATGAAAGGGCAAACTGTCTCAACACAGTCTTGTCTGCTGTGACTCAAACAGTTTAAAAACAAAACGATTAGCTTAAAAAAAGGGTTCAAGTCGGTACGATTTCATTAGCACTGGTGCATAATTAGCAATCTAGCCTCATTGCTAAGGTTCAGAAGAAATGACATATCAAGCTCATCCACTGCAAATAAAACATTTAAAAACAAAAAGATTGCCTTCATCTAAGAGTCTAGGATGCAACAATTCAATCAGCATGAGCATGCTTGTCCAGGAAGCGTCTCTGTTCTGGTGTTAACAGCTAATTAGTAGGGCAGCCTGGTTGTTGCTTTTTTTTGTGAAAAGGTGAATCCTCTCAACACAACCTGATCTTCTCGTGAATATAACTTTGGAAAACAAAAAGACTGGCTTCATGTACCAGTCCAGGAAGTTAAGATTTATTAACACTAGCAGCGAATTGCAGATGAACACCAGTTTTTTTGTTGTGATTTTTCTAAATGAAAAGGCTAAACGGCTCAAAAGCATATTTGTCACCAGAAAAAATGTTTAAAACAAAAATACAGTTTTAGCTTCACTTGAAAATCCAGGATGCTAAGATCCCATTAGCATGATTTTTTTTGTGGGTAGAGCAAGCAAGTCTCTCTTTTGGTTCTCACAGCTAATTAGCAACATTAGCTGATTGTTTGTAATTTTGTTCAAATCCAATGCGTCGGAAAAAAAAACAAGCTTATGTGCTGTGTATCAAACTGTTAAAAACACAAAGATTGGCTACACAAATAATGAAAAAAAATCCCAAGATTTGCTCCCTGTGTGGAGTTTGCATGTTCTCCCCAGGCCTGTGTGAGTTTTCTCCGGGTACTCCGGTTTCCTACCACATTCCAGAAACATGCATGGCAGGCTGATTGAACACTCTAAATTGTCCCTGGGTGTGAGTGTGAACGCGGATGGTTGTTTGTCTCTGTGTGCCATACGATTGGCTGGCAATCGGTTCAGGGTTTCCTACTGCCCGAAGCCAGCTGGGATAGGCTCCAGCACCCCCCGCGACCCTTGTGAGGATAGAGCGGATCAGAAAATGGATGGATGGATAAAGACGACAGAAGCTAACATTGAAAGCTAAAGTTGAAAACAATCATAGCAGAGCCAGTATGATGACATTGAAGCTAATGTTAGAAGCAATGAAGTCCATCAATGAAAAAAAACGGCATCGTGCACGTATGCGCTCCCTGCTCTTTGTCTTTCGTCGCCGTCAGTGAGTGTCGAGGAAAAAAGCAGTCAAGGCGTAACTTGTTTCCTGCCTCATGTGACCTGACGCAACACGAGAGGCTCGCTGACACATTGTTTGTGAAATAATGACGCCTGTTTCTTTTTTCAATATGCTGGAACGCCGCCGGGTTTTGTTTATTTCTGTCCGTTGGTCACTGCGCGGATTTGTGTCTGAGAGGGGTGCCGCTGTAGACAGGAAGCTGGTACTCTGAAGTCCTGTCTCCCTTTAGGGACAACAGTCCATGGGAAACACCTGCGGCGGGACCGAATAAGACTTTATTTTTAGAATATGTCGCAGGACAATAAAGAAAGAGACTGCGGGTCAAGTGGGAAAGATGGATTAAACACACAAATATTAGAAAAATACAAAAATAGATGGGAAAATGTTAGACCAAAAACGAATAGACATATTAAAATAGAATAAAAATTAGACTTAATTAGTACACAAATAAAACTAAATTATACCAGTAAAAAAATACTTGTCTAAAAAAATAATAATAGAATAATAAAAATCTCAGACAAAAAATACACTAACATTGGAAAAATACTTAAATATTGGTAGAAAAAAAAATTAAAAATACAAAAACAATAAACTAATAATTAGGAAAAATAAGAAATACAGGACCTTCTGGCTTTTCTACTGGCTCTGTGGTTAAAAAAAAAAAACACGGAAATACAGGACCTTCTGGCTTTTCTACTGGCTCTGTGGTTAAAAAAAAAAAAAACGGACAAAAAAAAAACTCATTTATGCTCCACTTGGAAGAGCACGGCGGCCCTGCTTTTGCGTGGATGTGTGTAATAATCATCCTATTTTAATCTGCTGCCCCCCGAGGTTACGTGTCCCGGATTATCAAACATGAGTACGGCACATGGACTCAAATCTGATGTGATACACTCGCTCATTGACTGCTTCACTCTTTCATGACCGTCAGATTAATTCTTTTTTTAAATTGCTGCTTCTTTTTTGGGGGGTTAGGGGAGTAAAAATGAAAGATGTTAAAATGATTTAGGAGCTGAGAGTGTTCCTCCACTTAGGGGGTTCCTTTCACACCTGCCGTGCGAACATTGTTGTTGTGTAATACTGGGTTACTTATTAATATTTATTTGGTATGTAACGGTAAGACAAAATTCAGGGAACCAAAATAAAATAAAACTGCTTACTGAATTATTCAACCAATTGTTGGTCTAACAGCATAATTGTCTGAGTCAATTTTAACATATAAATTGTATGTATGTATGTATGTATATACTATATAGGTACATATATATTAACTACTTGTTAATTGAGACAAATAAAATAATGCATGCAAAATGAAGAAATAAAGTTGAAGTCACTCAATTTTACTCCAAATTAACTACTCCAGGACTATGTATGGAAATGCTCGTTGTGCCCGAATATGTAGGGAGAAAGCCGTGTGTGTACTACTTGATGGATTTTTACATTATTGTTTTCATCCATCCATTATCTGAACCACTTATCCTCACAAGGGTCATGAGCGTGCTGGAGCCAATGCCAGCTGTCGTCGGGCAGTAGGTGGGGGCCCTGAACTGGTTACCAACCAATCGCAGGGCACTCACAACCGAACAACCATCCGTGCTCACACTCACACTTCGGGACAATTTAGACTGAGCATTCAGTTAATTTACCATGTTTTTGGAATGTGGGAGGAAACCAGAGCACCCGGAGAAAACCCACGCAGTCACTGGGAGAACATACAAACTCCACACAGGGAGGCTGGAGCCCAGAATTGAACCCTGGAGCTCTGTACTGTAAGGCGGATGCGCTAACAAGTCAATTTGTTCTGTTTTTATAAGTTTTACAACCTTTTCCCACCCTCAGTCAAAAGTGATCGAGAAGCTCGCTCACATCGCTATCCAGGCAGCAGGCAGGGAAGAGAAATACATGTGTCTTTGTTTATTTATCATTTCAAGCATTTATTTAGATATTGTGTTTGTTTCCGTTCCGAGATCATCTCCAAGTCTCATTTTTCTCCCCCAAAGTTTCTTGACACAGCTCTAGCTCACAGACGTCTTTATGTAAATCTCTAATCATCTGAATGTGGAACGCAAACATCTTGGTCACGTTCCTGCAGGCAACAAAAAAAAAAATAATAATAAATACATACCGGGAGGACGTTTCCACGCCAAAACCCGCGCGATCCTGTGGAGCTATGCGTCCAGCGGCGGGGACTGGCTAAGATCCGATTAGAAGCTGGCTTCTCGGCTACTTGTCGCCGTGCCAACATGCTGACGACTACCAGATTCCTCGGGCCCGACGCCGAAATTAGATCAGGGCCGATGCGGAGGCTGCCGCGTTCAAAGGCTTCGCAGGAAAAGTGAGCAATAACACCAGCAGGGAATCCTCACATTATGGAAATAATG